ATACAAATTTCAAAGTGGGACAACTCTTGGATATACTAATAAACAATTAAAAAATAAAAAAATAAAATTTATAATAATTATAAAATAATGTAAAATATAAAAAATAGAAAAATACTGCAAGAAATTTTGTCAGAAAAGTCATAGGAAAAGTTGCTAAATATGCTGCCAGAAATCTATTAAAAATTCTATCAGAAAATTTTTGATAAAAAAGTCTGTCAAAAATTCCATCAAAAAATTTCTAATGAAAAATTCACTCTGTCAAAAATTTTTTAATAGAACTTCCAATAGAAATTTCCATCATAAATTTTCTGACGGATTTTTCCCTCAAAAAATTTTTGATAGGGTGAATTTTCTGTCGAAAATCATTTTTGATAACCTTTTTTCTAGTGATACTTTTTTTGTCAGAAATTCTATCAAAAATGGACTTTTTCTAACGAAAATTGTTGTTTTTCCAACAGTACCTTTGAAACTTTCTATTTTATTTTGATATTAATTCAAATTATAGATAAATATTATTTGTCGATGTTGCTTAAATGAGATTTATAAATTATCAATTATTTAAAAAAAAATTGATATATGTGAGCTAATAAGCTGAGCTAAGCTACTCATGAACTTAGTGCGAGCTGAGTGTGAGCTAAGAAAATAAGGTCACTTAAAAAATGAGCTGAGTTAAGCTTAAACTGAGGGTAGCTCAGCTCAGCTCAACTCAACTCATTTTCACCCCTGGCTGCTGTGGTACTTTGACAATATGTTTCTAAAGACTGATTTGCACTTTGCACCCCCAAAATAGAAGATTTTAGCACTTTGTATCTCAAAAATTTAAAATTGGCATTTTGCACCTCAAAAATAGGGGTTTTTAGCATTTTGAACAAAAAAATTTTAAATTTGACACTTTGCACCCCCAAAATTTTAAATTTGGCTCTAAAACCTCTCAAAATTACAAAAAGTGCACCGTATCTTTAATTGCTTATTAAAATTAAGAGTAAATTTCGAATTTCATGAAATAAAGAGTAAAAAGATCATAAAAAACTTGAACCTTTCATTCTTTTTGTTATTTTCGCTCTATTTAATAAATTTTCACTTAATTTATACACGTATAAACAGCATGTAAAAGATTAAAAAAATTGGTATTGCTCAAAATTTTAAAATTTTAAAACTAAAAATAAAGTTTTGATAAAAAAATATATATTTGTAGTGACTATTTTAATTCTTAATTTTTCTAAATATTTTATACAAAAATAATTATTTGAAGTAACTCTTATAGTTCTTTATTTGTCTAGTATTTTATATATAAATAATTATTAGTTCTTAATTTGTAACTGATTATAATTATTTGAAGTAACTCTTATAGTTCTTAATTTGTCTAATATTTTATACAGAAATAATTATTAGTTCTTGATTTGTAACAGCTTAAAATTTTTAGTTTTTAAATTAAGAACTAAAATAGCCACTTCAAAAATTTTTTATATTTTTTTTATCAAAAATTTACTTTTAGTTTTAAAATTTTGAATATGTAGAAAATTTATGGTCCATGTGCATTTGAAAATTTTAATTTACTTGGTTTAAATTCTAATAAGAAACATTAATTTTGAAGTAATTATTGTAACTCTTAATTTGTCTAGTTTTTTATACATATATAATTATTAGTTTTTAATTTGTAATAAATTAAAATTTTTCATTTTTAAATTAAGAACTAAAATAACCACTTCAAATTTTTTTATCAAAATTTTATTTTTAGCTTTAAAATTGTCAAATTTTGAATAATAACAAATTTTTTAATCTTTTACATACTGTTAATATGTGTATAAATTAAGTTGAAGTTTATTAAATAGAGTAGAAATAACAAAAAAAATAAAAAGGTTCAAGTTTTTTTATAATTTTTATACTCATCATTTACGTGAAATTATAAATTTACTTTTAGTTTTTAATGAGCAATCAAAAATATTGTGTACTTTTAGTAATTTTGAGAGGTTTTGGAGTCAAATTTAAAATTTTGGAATGTAAAGTGCTCAAACTTCTATTTTTAGGATATAAATGCCAAATTTGAAATTTTGGGGTGCAAAGTGTTAAAAACTCATATTTTTTGTATACAAAGTGTCAAATTTAAAATATTAGGTGTAAAATGCCAAAACCCCTTATTTTAAGAGTACAAAGTATAAATTAGTCTATTTCTAAATGGGTCCGAACTTGCAATGTAATTACAACAAAAAAGATCTAATCCAACTGTATGGTAGAAGACCACAAAAGATTTAATGCTCAAATTTCAGTCCCTCAGCTGTTGGAAATTTAATTAAAGTAGAAAAGAATCTATGATTGTTAAAGTTTTGGTTCTTTTAAACAATGAAAATAGTGCTTAGAATATATTAACCAATTACTGCCAGTTTTACTTCATGTACTGTAGGTCAAACTCAAAATGTTGCCAAAGGACACGAAAGCGGCTTTATTTTGGGATGCATCCTTTCTAAGGTGATGTTTGTAAATGCTTCTGGAAAGTTACAAATTAAAGATTAAAGTAGAAGTTGGGTAGAAGTATATTATATTGAGAAATTAGGTGTATTTGTAAAATAATTTATAAATTAATCTAAAATAGTAAAATTTAATATTTGAAACGTAATTTTTATAATTTGCTTAAGAAAAAGAAAAATTATTAAAAAATTATATAAAAAATGCCATTGGATAATTTTGGACTTTAAAAAAATTCAAAAAAATCTAAAATAATTTTCACTTAATTACAAGAGTGTCACTCATAATTGGCAGTGCCCTTCCCCTCTTTTAGAATCTGTTTATAAGCCTTCTTTTTCTTATTTAAAGTGAAAGAAAGTAAAATTTTAAAACACTTCAGAACTGATTGTGTGCATTGAAAGATTCAAAATCACTTCTCACAAATGCCCTTAAATATTTGAACTTGTTGCAGCAGCTTTCTCCGTCGGCTTCCTTGGGTTTGGAATGACAATAAACTAAACCTCTAGCTTTATTGGACTTTTCGTCTTCCATTAAGCCTATGAAGCGAAGACACTTCAACATGGTTCAAGTGTCGATAACCTACGCGTTGAACATTGACATGCATAGGACATATAAACATTGTCTTTAGACGTGTCTAACTATGTTCCATTTTTTATTTAATTATGTTGGACCACACACAACAAGAACGTGCTTATAACTATTTTTTATTTACCGTCTTTTATGTTTCAAGAGGGTAACGATTTTTCATAGTTTTCTAACATCATAGTTAGAGACAGTAGATCAAGTGGTCTAATTGGTCGGACACCTTTTTATTAGAGCTTTTATGTGTTATTTGTTTCTTTTTAAATTGTTTTGTATAACATAAATGTATAATTTAAATGTATGACAATTAAATTATTGAAAGTGAATTATCACAAAACAATCATCAAAGAGCAAAGATTTTGCTTGAAGACATGTTGGCTATTTAAGAGAGAATGACTTTTACAAAGAAATATACTGGACAGTTCTGCACCATTAATAACTATTGCCACTAAAGTTTGAGAACAGATGGTTGAACACAATAAAATATCAAGAATAACTTGTTAAATTCAACCTTGTCCACAGAACTAGACAAAATACTGTTTTGATGCCATTTTCCCAATCAAATAAAAATTGGATAATCTTCAGGACCCACCCAATAGGTCCTCAATGTTACATGACTGGGCCCAATTCCAATACAAAAACTTTTGAAGCTATTGCCCGTGTCTGCACAAAAGGGATGAAGTTACCCAAGTCGAAACTTACAAGAACTATAGTGCTCAGATCATATAATTACTGCCGGGAAAAACCATGAAGGGCTAGTTATTTACTGAGGTCAACAAGAGACTGCATTTTGCAGTGACTGCACAAACCTATATAAATACAAAATCATAAGAAGATTCACTGAATGAAGTTACAGGATGTAAATGGGGGTGTGTGTGAGAGAGAGGGGGAGAGGAAACTAGAGCAAGGACGGGGTGTCTCTGGAACAATAAAGGTAGATAGAATGAAAATTATTACTCCCAATTTCCCAATGTAAACTTTGAAGAATCAAATCTGCCAACCTGTGCACCAAAGTATTGAATAAAGTCGTCATCCAGCAAAAAGTCTTGTATCATTGCTGTCTAAAGAACCCGTGCCATTCATCCCTACATGATATGGGCTGTTAAATCCTCCAAAATCCAGTGACAAACTATTGAGGGGAGACCCAAACTGGTTCATTACTGCTCTATCCCATTCACTTGGAAAGGCACCTTTCAAATACTGGTGTCACGAACCAAGTACTAGATTCGTAACCGTGCTAAAGTTAAAATAGAATCCAACTTAGTAAGCCTAACTATCATACAATATTTTTATAATGACCTGAGAATTACTAGATCTAACAACTTGTTAAACCTAAACTACTGGTTCAAAATATTTAATCACAAGTTATTTAATAATAGTCTCTAATATCTTATATATTGTATCATATTACTCTCAGAAATCAACGTAAAATGGAATATCACAATTTTCCCTACTTAAACACTTGACACCTTTGTCAAGTTAGAAATCCGTATTTATATCCAAACAAAACAAGTCCAAAAATTATTTTACTCTGATATCATTTATCACTTCGATGGGCTATTACAAAATGGCATCAAAGCCATTCCACATGTAATCTTGAACTGTGGGAGGGCAAACCTCAATAAAGACGCTAAGTTTAGAAGAAAGAAGTATATACAATACCCTTGAACAAATCCCACGCAAGCAAAATATAGGAGAAATTTTGGGTTCATAAGTATGCATACCTTAATATCTGATAGACACGTTTTAAAATCATAAAGGTCTCGGCTTAAAGCAGACAATATTTATGAGTGGACTGAATTGTGACAACCAGTGCATCTCTCCTTCGAGAATATCATTTTTATTTCTATTGACTCCAGAATCCCCAGACCTAACTCAAGGTGCATTAACTGCAATCTGATTTTGCTCTTCACCACTGGGCAAAAATTCCAGCTATGAATTAAGAAAATCATAAGCTAAAAATCACAATTCAACTGAGAATTTTCTGGCCCTTCACGTAAACCAGAATTTTGAGGCCCACTTAGTGAACTGCAATTAACAGCTTCACTATGAAACCCATTGTCCTGAACCACTTGATATGGTAAAGGCCCAATACTGGGAAGCATTTTCTGAGTGGGTACCACGTTGGAAGACATTAGGGCAGAGTTCTGAACGAACAAATTTTCATGCCACCAAGCATGGCCCTGAAGATCTTTACCGAAAGGCCTCATAGATTTAGTTCTATGCATTTCAATTTGGCCCATTACTTCCATTTGGTTCATGCCAGGCAAAGTGTCTCTGGGGGCTGTCTCTTGGTTGCCAGAGTTTGATTGTGCACGTGGTCTTGTTCTTCTAGGTTTCCCCTTTTTGTTACTTTGAGGTGGACTGGATGATTGCACGTACAATGGTTTACTCCTTCTCTCATCTCTTGATGAAACAGATCCCATACCATCACCACTAACATCAACATCATAATCACTGTCGGCACTGACATAAGGTTTTCTTCTTTTATCACGGTGGCCACGTGGTGTTTCAATTGTGCCAGATATTCCACCTTCACTGGTAGGTTGCTCAATGAGCAATTCCTCTTAGCTCAAAACCCCCAGCCAAATTGAGCTCTCCTTCGCAGTCATCTTATCCTGCAAACACTTTGATTGCCTCACTAGCCTCCTGATCTTTGCAGTATCAGGTGACATGTTTTATCACAGCTGTCAAAACTCCAGCCTTCCACATCTTCAAATCATGAGGCTTCTTGTATGGAGGAGTATGACCCTCAGGCAGCCCCAACTTCACTTACCACTCTTCCCTCCCCGTGGGCCACCAAGGTGGGGAATACCTTTCTCTAAGGGGTATTGCCTTTGAAACAGATTGCAATGTTGCATCAATGCAGACAAAAGAGACCCTAAAGTTGCATCTTGAAGGTCTTGAAGAGCACTTTCACGGTTTCCATTCCCAGAACCATCTGTCTTGCGTTTGGCATCACAGTCGGCTTTGTATTTTGCTTTGGCCGCTGGTCATTTTTGTCAAAATTCACCTTCTCCTTCCACCAAGCCCTTGTGTTCTCTGATGCACCACTCACCGGCTTACCCTTCTCAGGGATGATCCCATACACAAATCCACGGGCTTTGCATACCTCCAGCTTCAACATGTATTTCAATATACCGTCTTGAGCTTGGGACATTTTCTTCCGCCTAGCTTCATCAGTCACCTGCACGGGCTTCTGCTTCTCCACAGCTTGTTGGGCGGCAAGTTTTTGTCTCTCCTTCATCCTCTTAAGTTTGATCCGGTCCTTTCACATCCGTTTCTCCAAATCCTCTGTTTCAATCTCTTCCTCACTGACATCTTTCTCCGCTATATCGTCACACTTTAGGTCATCAACCTCAATATCCGAACTGTCATCCATCTCATTAGCATCAATAGCAAAATGCTACAGTAAATCGCAAGTGTAATATTAACTGAAGAAACCCCAGTTATCCCAATTGTTCAGCCAATCCACCCCTCTATCCCCAGAAAAATATCAAACCCAACCAGTCCCTTAGTTACATCAATAAAATAAGAACCAGCAGAGACATCAAAAGCCATTTATTTGGATTTTTAATCCAACTCGGTCATCTATTCAAGTGGAGTATAGTAGATTATAAAATGTAAAGAAAAGAACGCATTTCAAGAGTGCGATTCTGAATGTCCAAGCATAGCACGTTCTCCGATGTTTAGAAGGAGGGACACATGAAACAGGGTTTATAAGGACACAAACTCAATAAAATTCTCTAAAGGTAATCCTAATCGCAGTCATTTCAACGACCAATTGAGAATTTATAAAAGGAAGATTGTGAAAGGACAAGACCGAATCAGACCAAGAGTATTGAAGAATGGTGGGCGAAGAATCAGAATTATTACCTGATATCGGCTCCAAATTCTATAAATTTACCCATCTCTCCGATTCGCAACTACAAAACCCCCACTATTGGGCTCCTTCCTTTTCTCCCTCTGTTGGAAATCAAGAAAGGAAAAAATTATGAAAACAAAAACAAATGTCTCTCCGACGAGTACTCGGCCGAGCACCATGGAAAACAAGACAAACGGAAAAGAACGCGAAGGACGTAAGTTGAAATGGAACACTACAGGGTCGGACAAAAGGTCTGCTTTCTGTTAATTTTTAATTAAGCGGACAATTCCGTGGCGTATAATAATAATTTTTAAGTTAAAAATAAAATGCAATATCTGATGAGCGGCAATTCTAAATTCAGTCCCTCTACTTCTATGATTTCTCTAATAAGATCCCTGTACTCAATTAGTTTCGAGTTACCACCCTCTTCAGCCTTCTGTAAAGGTTAAATTTTACTAGCTCGTCAAATGCTTCGCATTGCTTTCTTAGCATACTTTTGTCCTGGAGTGCAATAGTATTCCCCTTTAGTAGTTCGTTTCTCCCACTGAGCTCCTTGCCCTTTTCTTCACTCTCCCGAATCTTTTCCCTTTCTTCCCTCCATTGTTTTTTATGTCCCACCATTCAGGTGAAAGATAAACAAATTTGTACACTATATGTTTCAAATATGGCCAACTTACTGGTTCACGAACTATTAGATGTGTGTACAATAAATAAATGAATGTATGAATAATATAACACCTTATACAAAATTTAGAATATCAAGAAATTATATTAATACTGTTGGTCATTGATTACTTAGGACTCATTTGATTATATGTTTAAGTGAATTTATTGAAAATGGTTTTCGATGTCTGTTCATAAAAAGTTACTGAAAGTGGGGTTATTTAAAAAAATGAAAATAAGAAGTTGCCGCTCAATTTATTTGCTTAATAACATGTATGTACACATTAATTTTTATCTTCAATTTCTTTGTTTTTTCTTTATATTTTATTAATTTAATTTTTATGCCATATACTTACATAAATAAATAATTATGTAACATGAAATAAAAATATCTATTAAATTTTTATTTTTTATTTTTTGTATTTATTTCATATGTTTACAATTTAATTTTTTGGAATATATTTACATAATAAAATAATTATTTGACATGAAATAAAAATTTCTATAAAATTTTTACTTTTATTTGTTGATTTTCTTTTATATTTTCTCAATTCAATTTTTGCAATATATTTACATAATAAAATAATTATGTAATATGAAATAAAAACATCTATTAAAAAGAGTACAATTCAGATCTATTTTTGTCATGATCCAAATCTAACGAGAGACAGACAACCTTAACTAGCCTCATAGATTACAGAAAATATCATTGAAATATGAGATTTTTTGAAAATTATGGTAAAGTTTCTCCTATAAAGTGAACACACCCAAATTTGGATAACTTGTCAAACAACATATTGTATAACCGAACAGTGACCCACAGACAATCTTAATGTACTAAACAATTTTTAACGCTCATAATAACAATTTAAATAAAAAAAAAAAAAAGTGGCACAGCAGGATAGCCCCCTATCTATGGTTAATGAAGCATTCTACAAATTTTCAAGAAAGCTAAATATAAAAGAAAACGCAAGGGCAAATCAAATAGTAACAAGTGCCCGTAAGACATTAGAATCACTTGAGGGGTACTTTCAATCAAATTGTGGAATCTAGAGTGGGGTATAGTAGAATCTAAAAAGTATTAAGATAGAGGTGAATTGTACACCTCAGTAAAAAATAATATATATTTAAGATATATTTGGGACAAGTATTATTGCAAAAGCATTTTCAAATAATCTTTTATAGTTTCAACTGTTTTTCATTGAAACACTTTGAAACCCTGTGATAATCTATTTAAGCAAATAATTATCATAAGAATATTATACATCAAGAAGTATTATGAGAGTTCTTCACTCAGAATACAAACATAGAATAGTAACCCATTAAGGATAAGCAAACTAGTCAACATGTATAGGTCAAATTAGGGGCTTCAAAATGGGTTAAACCCAATGGATTAGCTTGAATAACTTGACAAATAGGCAGGACTACGCTAGTGAAACCTGAGCTCGATTTTTTTTTTGTGGCCGGTTAGTTATTCTTAAATTTTAATTTAATTTAATAAAATTTTAACTTTTTACAATTATTCCATTAGTTACAAGAATATGAATTTATTTACTTATGCTTCTAATTATTTTTAGCTGAAGTTCAGAGAAAAGTAGTGCAAGAAGCAGCAATGTAAACAAATAAAACTGCTGAAAAATAATTAGAAGTAGAAAATTATTAAAAAATAGCTTGTACAAACAAGCACAGTATCTCCTAAATTAATAATGAGATAATTAATTTGATTATCTAGATAGATATTACTTAATTCTTTAAAATCAAATTATACAGATAGTATCCCCTAAATTAATTATGAGATGAATGCAAATTTTTCTTTACAAATAGGGGTCATGAAGATCCTTATTAATGTGTGAGATTTTTCAAGAAGTTGAAGGAAAGAGATTCTTTGCAATCCTTTTATCAAAAGATTCTTGATAGAAAATCCCATAAGGTAAGAGAAAATACTCTTGGATTATTAACATAATCCTAAACTCTAATAGACATTTCCCGTGTGGATACCGTTAGAAGAAGTGTATTTGAGCTTTTAGTGGACCATTCCAGTGCTTGTTTTTAGTTGTTGAGACATAAATTTGAATTAACTCAATCTCTACGTCAGTCGGAAGTTCAAAGGGCATAAATAGGATTTCTTGGATTAAATTTATATATATTGCACCTTGAGGCATAAAATTAGGGTTTCGTTATGATTTGATCACATATTTTGAGATTAAAACTTTTAAATTTTTGCTACCTTTAGATTCCTGATTTTGATGTGATTCCAATACAAACATGTTATTTCATATGGAAATAGCTGTAGATGTACTTTATCTAGAAAGTTTAAATAAAACATATGTCAAAAATAAGCATATTGTAATATACCATATCAAGACCATCTATGATCAACCTTCTGCTCTCCATTCCATGTACATGAATTTACATTTGGCATTTAGCATGTTTCATTCCTCATGAAACACTTCATATATTTTCAAATTTTAATCAAGTAATACAGTTATTATTTTTCCCATCCAATAGATTACCAAGTTAAGAATGGCCTTAGAGACAATCAAATGGAACAAGAATAACTTGGTTAAAAAAAGTAAAATAAAATTTTGCAAGAAAGAAAACAAAAATTACAAAATAAAAATTTAAAGGATGGTGAAGTGTAGCAAGAAAACTTAAGGGATTTAGCTTGCTTTTGGCCCAGAACTTTTGTGTTTAAGAGAGGATTAGGTAGAGGATTGAGAGGGTAGAAATTGGTTAGAGAAGTTAGTAGATGAAGGGGATACAAAAAGAAAGAATTCTTCAATGGAGGGACAAAATGGTAATTTTACTCAAGGAGAGAGGTGTGCGCTTGCAAGCAAGTAGCTTGTGCTGCCTCATTAAGCTGACTTAAGGGCCTACAACTAGCCAGCTTTTGCATGCAAACAAGGAAGAAAGAAAGGAGAAAAGAGAGAGGAAAGAATAGCTTAAAACCAAAGCTAGGGCCTAGACATTTGGCTCAATTTTAAACTTCTTTTTATTTAATTTAACCATGTTTCTATCTTCCATTTTAGCAATTAATAACTTGTTTTGAGGACTATATTCATGGGCAAAAACCAGGGGATTTAAGGGAAGGAAGAGCCGAACCTAGGGCTTTAAGAAAACCTTCAATTAGTTAGGACTTTGAGTGAGTTTTGTGTGATACTTATGCTTAGTTAAGGTTTAGTTGCAGTTTTTCTACAAGATTAGTGTTTAAATTTTGAATTTTGAAAGGGAGTAGTTCTAAAATTTTGAGGGAGAACAGGGAGGAAAGGGAGACAAATCAAGGAAGGGGTTAGTTTTGATTGTTTTTGGTGAGTTTGTGAACAAATCTATGTAACCAAGTTGGAAGCTTGTGTTTAGCGAGTTTTCTCATTATTTTGGCCAATTTAGGACCTGATTTAAGGGCTGCTAAGTTACTGTTTTTGTGAGGGGGAGAGAGAAGGGTTAGAGAAGGATGAAAACCAGATTAACCCTAACGACTAGTTTAAGTTTTTCCTAAGAACAATTTTTGGACGTTAGAAATTTCTGTGGGAGTGCTGTAATTTCTGCAAGGTTTAGGGCTTGATTAAAGGAGTTTATCTCACTTTGGGAAATGCAAAATAGGAGAGACATGAGCTACAAATGGACTAAAAAGATAAGGGAAAACCCGAAACTTTAAAAAGGTAAATTTGTGGGATTTTGTGTGGCTAGTAAGACAAACAAGCCTCTAGGTTGATACTAGG